GCACGAGAGCGCGAAACACCAAGAGGCGCTCAAGTGGTTCACAGAATTCCAGATCGACCGCGTGATCAGGAATGGAGTTGTTCCTGACTGGTTCCATGGCATCATCTCTAGAAAGTAAGGATCTCAAAACCCTGTTAGAGGTCACTTCCTACTCCCTAACAATCGCCAATTTTTTGCTGATTTCATGTCTTACTTTTGGGTATGTGTGGAGGATGGATCCCAAAGACCTTGTTTAAAAGCTGAAAAAACAAACATTTTTAGAAGTTTTTGCTTTTTCATGTCTATAGTACTATGAAGGATTATTAAATCTAACATTTTAAGATGCTACTAATTCTTCTAAATTTCCTGATTTCCAATACAGTGGTGAATGCATTGATTACGTTGGGAGAAAGTTTTTTTTTTTCCAAAATGTACTTTTACAATGGCAAAATTTATAATTTCATTAATTGAAATTGCATGTCAACAGAAAAAAATAATTCTATGCGTTATTATTTTAATTTTGGGGAGGTATAAGTGGGCAGTTAAGTTTTATCTTGGGGGGGGGTACAGACCATAAACGGAGGTCATGCCCTGACCTTTGCAGGTTTTAATTGAGTTTGCTGCTCCGATTCTCCAGGAACGCCGAAGACTTACTGATGTACAAACCAGTCGGATGTTTCCTCATCCGGGTCAGTGAGAGCCGCATCGGGTATACTTTGTCCTGCCGGTGAGCTGATTGGCCTTTTCACATCGTGGGCTGCATGCGGGGAAGATGGGAATGATATGATGGGGGAAAAATGGCCCCATGTGCATTGAGCTTACTTCTCGTCCCTAGAGCCGACGACCGCTGCAGACACTACATGATCGACGTGCTGCGCAACGGCCAGTACATCATCGTGGGAGAGAACACCTCCCACAGGTCTCTCCAGGACCTGGTGGATTTCTACCGGAGGATTCCCCTCATGCCACACAACGAGTTGCTCCTCTCCACCTGCGGCCAGGCAAGTATCCCTGAGTGTTCCAGCTGCTGCTGCTCTCTTTTCCCATTTCCAGCTGCTGCCCTCCCCACGCTGGCTCAGGGGCAGCGTGCACCCAGTCAGGTGAACCCATGCTCTCCTCAAGCACGGCCCGGGAGCTGCCCAAACCGGTCAGCGCAGAGTCGGCTTGCGCGCAGAGCAAAGCTGCTCCCCGTTCAGCCACGGTCGTGCAAAACCTTTACCACCTCCACTGCTGCGGTTGTTTCTCTTCTGTGTTCTCCATTGCAGGACGACACAAAGTTTCCTCATTTTATGCTCCCAGACTGAATTGACACTGACCTTTGCTAGAAAAATGGGAAAGTGTTGTTTCTCTTTGTTTTGAAACAATGCTGGGCTGCTGTTCTTCCTCTACTTAACACGGGTTGAGTTC